TGGGGGGGGGGGGGGGTTGGCTGAGCGCGAGAGCTCAGGAGGGCAGTGTGCAGGGAGCAAGAGAGAGAAAGGAGCGCGCGCCTTCCAGCCTGACTCGGTGACCTCCCCGTCAGAGACCCACGTCATGGTCCCATTCGACGGCACGACCCCGGCCGGGCCCGAGGTGCCGCAGTACTTCACGCCGTGACGATGAGGTAGTCCCAGAGGCAGTTCGCGCCGGACTCGCAGCCGTAGTACTCGCATCCCTCCACGTCAAACTCCACATCAAAGGCGATCACGTCCAGCTCGACCGGCGGCACGTTGTAGATGGTGCAGTTCTTGAGGTTCGGGTAGTCGTTCGGGAAGTTGGGCGAGGTGGCGCACGAGCCGCCGTCGGTGATCAAACACGGGCCGGTGGCGCAGACGTCGCCGAACGGGCATGGCGGTAGGGACGGCGGCGGCGGCAGGGACGGCGGCGACGGCAGGGACGGCGGCGACGGCGGCAGGGACGGCGGCGGCGGCAGGGACGGCGGCGGCGGCAGCGACGGCGGCGGCGGCGGCAGGGACGGCGGCGACGGCGGCAGGGACGGCGGCGGCGGCAGGGACGGCGGCGGCGGCAGGGACGGCGGCGGCGGCAGCGACGGCGGCGACGGCGGCATGGACGGCGGCTGCGCAGCCCAGCACACCTGGAATAGGGAGGGGGGGGAGGGGGGGTTGGGTGAGCGCGAGAGCTCAGGAGGGCAGTGTGCAGGGAGCAAGAGAGAGAAAGGAGCGCGCGCGCCTTCCAGCCTGGCCTGGTGACCGAACCGTCAGAGACCCACGTCATGGTCCCATCCGACGGCACGACCCCGGCCGGGCCCGAGGTGCCGCAGTACCTCACGCCGTTGACGGTGAGGTGGTCCCAGATGCAGTTTGCGCCGTTCGGGACCTCCACGTCAAAGGCGATCACGTCCAGCCCGGCCTGCGGCAGGCCGTAGAGGGTGCAGCCCTTGAGGTTCGGGTAGCCGTTCGGGAAGTCGGGCGAGGTGGCGCACGAGCCGCCGTCGGTGATCAAGCACGGGCCGGTGGTGCAGACGTCGCCGAACGGGCATGCCGGTAGGGACGGCGGCGCCGGCAGGGACGGCGGCGACGGCAGGGACGGCGGCGGCGGCAGGGACGGCGGCGACGGCGGCTGCGGAGCCCAGCACTCCTGGAATATGGAGGGGGGGGGAGGGGGGGGGCATAGGGGGACCGGGGTTGTGTGAGCGCGAGAGCTCAGGAGGGCAGTGTGCAGGGAGCAAGAGAGAGAAAGGAGCGCGCGCCTTCCAGCCTGACTCGGTGACCGAACTGTCAGAGACCCACGTCATGGTCCCATCCGACGGCACGACCCCGGCCGGGCCCGAGGTGCCGCAGTACTTCACGCCGTCGACGACGAGGTAGTCCCAGAGGCAGTTCGCGCCGGACGGGCCCTCCACGTCAAAGGCGATCACGTCCAGCCCGGCCTGCGGCAGGCCGTAGATGGTGCAGTTCTTGAGGTTCGGGTAGTCGTACGGGAAGTTGGGCGAGGTGGCGCACGAGCCGCCGTCGGTGATCAAGCACGGGCCGGTGGTGCAGACGTCGCCGAACGGGCATGCCGGTAGGGACGGCGGCGCCGGCAGGGACGGCGGCGGCGGCAGGGACGGCGGCGACGGCGGCTGCGCAGGGGGTGCGGACGGTGGCGCCGCTGGTGTGCCACTCGCGTCCTGCAGGAAGATGAGCACAATGCAAACTCGGAGAGCACGCGAACAGGCAAGCAAATGCACGGAGCCAGCTGCATGGCTGCGGCCCTCCACCCTCTTCTTCTTCACCTGCAGCCTGCGCACCAGCCCGCGGCACGCCGCGAGCAGCGCTAGCACGGCTGCACAAGGATGGAGAAAGAGCAGAGAGGCCGCAGAGAGGGCCGTGACGGTCGTGAAGCTCGCCTCAGGTGAGGGGTCGCCGATCTTGGTCGCGCCGGAATTCTCGACAGAGGAGGCGAGCTCGGCGTAGGCGCCGCTGAGCTTGGAGGTTGTCGGGACGGACGTGACGGCGGTGAGAGCGGGTCCGCCCTCACTTATGTCCGCCGCGGAAAAGTAGCCGGAGCACTTGCCACTTGTCCACACGGGGTCGAAGTCATCGACAGTTGTACGGAGCAGCTGATTGTCGTGATGAATAGCCTTGCCGAACGGGTCGCCCGCCAACGTGCCGTACCTGCTGTTGTTGCAGACGGCCACGCCTCCATTCGGCAGCAGAAAGAGGAATTGCATCGCGAGGATTTGCATCGCGCGTCGGGTCGCCGCGGTTGGGCGGGCAGTGAGCGAGGCCTTGCGATGCGACATGGATGTCATGGAGGTGATTGCCTTTGGGGATCTTACTAGATGGCGGCGGTGTGATTTTTTTCTTCTTGTTTGACTCGCATGTGGAGCTTTGGCGGCGGTCTCGGGCACGGACGGCGCGCGTCGGTTGCGCAAGGCGTTACTCTCGAAACTCGTCTTCGACGACGCAAATGGTGTTCGAACTCCCCGCGGCCCGAGACGGTACCTTTCAGGCACGAACGATCTGGCTCCCTGTCCCTCCCAGCTCTTCTCTCTCCCCCTCCCCCCTAGCTGCTCTGCACAAGAAATGGCCCACCAACAGCGCCACCCTACAACGCAGGCAGTCCGCCACGCGCCCGATGTAGAGCTCTACATCTCTACATTGCTCAAACAGCGCTCCAGAGCGCTCGATCAGAGGAGTACGAAAACACGAGAGGAAGGCGGAGGTTTCTGTCTGGCCAAACGATCCAACGCGGTGCCGGTGGCCCATACTGAATGAATGGGCGCGACCTCCAGTCGAGGTGGCAGCCGTCCGTCTGTGCACATTGTCTCGTCAAGACGGTACCCGGCATCTAACTCATTGAAATACGAGACACCAATGTCGGCCGGGGCCAAGACTGGCGGCATCATCTGCTTGGCGCCATGCTCATTATGATACAGGTCCGCGCTTTGTGGTTTCACAACGCGTTTGGTCCTCGCTCTGGTACGGCTCACCAGATGCGACAGGAGGGCTAAAATCCGGAATATAGATTGCCAAGAGGGTGCTCTAGGCCGCGAAGACACCACACACGGTCTCCCTACTCATGCGCGGCTAGCAGGAGGGTGCCAAAAATGAGGCGCGTTTGTGAAACCGCAGCTGGCCCCGCCGACGGGTAGCACAGGTCATGAGTGAGGCCACGCCAGCTGCCTCGGGTGCTCCGTGTGGTCGGCCTGGACCGTGCCGCAAGCCTCGAGCAGCGGAGAAGCGCTGTCCTTGAAGTCCAGACATGCTTCGCCGCCGTGGCGCAGCGCCGCAGTGCGAGCGAGCACTGCACTGCAGTGCTCGCTTGCAGTGCGGCACCCATTCGACTCCCTGCGCTCCGGGCACATTGTCAAATGTGCCGGCGGCCTTGTGGACGGCTCGGGCACGATTTGCACGACGGCGCGGCCGGGATTTGCACGATTTGTGAAAACGAGTGTTGCGAACCGAAGCCGCCTGGTACGCTGTGACGCGCCCGCCGAGTCAGCGGCCAGCCCGGCCCGGCCGGGGCCCCCTTTCTAAGATGCCGAAACTGCACGAAAACGGGCCCAAGATTGATGTCAGCGGTCTCGCCGCCCCTCTGCTTCGTGGTGAAAGCAGCGACACGCCGCCGCTGTCGCCGTTGCCGCTGTCGTCTGGCGAGGAGCGGCTGGCGATGCGGTGCGCTGTTGCCATTGTCTTCACGACCACATTCCTCTGGGGAATCGTCCCGGGCGACGCCGTAATGCGATCGCTGGTCGTGTGTGGTGCGCCATCTCTAACGCCGCACGACTCGCCAGCTTGGAGCGGCTCAGATCGATGCGGAGATCAGAAGCTGGTGCTGGCGACAACCGCGCGACTTGGCGGCGACTTGGGCACGATCAGCAACCTGGGCCACCTGGTGGGAGGACCGATTATCGCCGCTGTTGCTGACACTAGCAGCCGCACTCGTGCCATTGCAATCTCTGTCGCGCTCGTAGTGTCGTCAAAGTGCCTGTTTGCAGTCGTCTATGTCGTCTCGGGCCGCCTCGCGGCTGGCCACGCGCCCGCCGGAAGCGGCGACATCGCCTTCCTCGCAATCCCGTTCCCTATACTCGTGCTCTGTGGGGTGCAAACCTCCTCCTGGCGGGCTCTCGACCGTCTTGTCCGTTCCAACAGCGGCGCTAGCCTGAGTAGGTGCTCTCCAGTCTCAGCTCCTTTAGCGCGCCTCTCAACGCGTGTCCTCTTGCCGCTGCGCTCGTGACGAGCGAGGACGGCTCTTCTAGCCCAGGAACTTTACAAGTAGGCGCTCATTGGCGACGTGACCCCCACCGCTTCACGCGGCGCTGTCTTTGCCCGGCTGACCGTCTGCCACGGGGTTGCGGCCGGCGTGTCCCAGGTGCTGCACCTGCTGCTTCTCCGGCTCTACCTCACAGACTACACTCCCATCATCGTGGCGGTCGCGCTCCTGTCGCCGTTGCCCGCTGTGCCGCTTCTCGTTCTGATGCGGCGGGCGCGCTTACCTGCCCGCAAGGTATTGTGCGAGGCGCCAACACCGCCAGCGACTGGCAAGGCAGCTGAGAGCGCAGAGGCAGCTGGGAGCGCAGAGGAGCGGGGCCCCAGGGCAGCAGTGCGGCTGCTCTTGCGTGAGCGCCGGCTGTTGTGCGCTTGCGTGAGCACATTCGTCTTCATCTTTGGCGTCCACGGCGGCGGCAGCTTGATGAACTCGCTCACGCTAGCGCTCGGCTGGCGGCAGGGGGACCTGTACACGCTGCACCTCGTCATCACGCTGCCCACCAGCTTGACGTGCATCACGCTCGCGAGCCGATTTATTTTCCCGCGCATCGGAACGGCGGCGGCTGTCATCCACGGCATCGCGTGCTTGCTGCTGATGTGCTTGGGATTCGGCGTCGCTCCTTGGCTCGGCGCCGGCGCCATAGGGCTCAGCCTCTTCCTCATCGGCTGCGCCGCTCCCGGCGTCCCCGCCCTGCTGGCGGTCCTCACCGAGCAGGCGCCGCCACGGCAGCTTGCCATGGCGCAGGCCTGCCTCTCGGTCGTTGCGACCCTCGCCATCGGGATCTCCACGTCTGTGTTTGGGCACCTCTTTGACCCGAGCACCCCGGAGAGCGCCGCCCGGCCGTATGCGCTCAGCCTGGTGCTGGGCACTCTCGGGGCCTGCCCGCTGCTCGCGCTGCTCGTGCCAATCGCGCGCGAGCAGCTCCGCGCGCTGCGAGTGGGGGAGGGAGCAGGCTCGGAGTGAGAGCCAGTCGCGCGTAAGAGCTAAGAGTCAGAAACGGGTCCACGCGGCGCACCATCTCGACCGAGAGAGAGAGGTGTACACAGGTGGCCCTCAGGGGCTCCCAGCTCGCTCGCGCGGCGAGAGCGCTACTCTATCTAGCCTGACTCTCTGCGGACTTGGCGGTCGGGGCGCGGTCTCGACTGTCGGTCTCGACTGACTGGGTCCAGCCCTGGGTGGCGCAAGATCTGACGTTCTGTGACAATCGTCAGATCCGTGTTTTTCTCGTTGTTTTGTCGCTCGCTCCGCTCGCCACCTCACGCTCCGTAGTCCGGCCATGGCCAGTACCCCGCGTCTCAGTGAGACGCGTGGTACCATCCAACTCCGGTCGAAGGGCTCGAATGCGCTCAGCCTCAGGAGGAACAAAAGGTCCACGCAAATTCTGCACGCCTCGCTGCGCCGCTGGCTTGAC